CGGGGGCGGGCGAGGAGCGGAGCGGATCGCGGGGACCAGGCGAGGCGGGGGCGGAGGCGGGGAGCGAGCCCCGCCGACTGGAGAGGGAGCTGGCGGCGGGGAAACCAGGACTGGATTGGGGGGAGAGGAGGCGAGACCAGAGAAGGAGAAAGCCTGGCTGGCTGGATCAGCAGGAGGAAAGGGAGGAGGGCGAGGGCTGAGGCCGCCCAGTGGGATGCGAAGCGCGCGGGCCTGGAGGGCGACGTGGGCGGGCCGGGCCTGCAGGGGCGAGGGTTGGGGGCGGCGCCGGGAGGACAGAAGTGGGCGCAGGATCCTGAAGAAGTCGCTGAAGAGTTCCCCTGGCCAAACCGCTGGAGCGTTCGTCGCTGGATGTCCTTGGTCTCGATGTGGACCATGCGTCCAAACAGCGGGCCGAGGCCGCAGGTTCGGCTTCCACACCGGATCAGCAGCTCCTCGCACAGGCAGCAGCGAGACAGATCTGTGTCCCTGCTGTTCTCTTCCCACCTGGCCCCATCCTGCCTCTCCCTGAGGCACTGAAAAAGTGGAGGAGGAGTCGGGCCATATAGTTTAAAAAAAAAAAAAAGAAAGAAAGAAAAAGAAAGAAAAAAGACCAAACAGCTTCAGCCAGGCGGTTCTGCATATTCCTGCACCCAGCACTGGGTTCAGAGCCATGGGGATCAGAGCCATGGGGATGGGGGTTGGAGAGGACTCCCAATTGCCAGTGGATAGGGACATTCCCAGAGTGTACTCACTCGGAAAGAGAGAAAAAGTAGAGGGACTGGTCAAGTGGCCCCAGCCAGGGGGGAGCTGCCCGTTCCCAAAGGGTTTTAGAGCTGGAATTGTACATAACAGGAAGACGTATCCAGGAGAGAGGAAAATAAATGGCCATTAAGAGGTGTGAGCACCTGGATAAAAACAAAGGCTGATGTTGATTAAGGCTACAACTGGCCACAGCAGACAGAAGGCAGGGTGGGGGTGTCGGCGGCCTTCACACACACACACACACACACACTCACACACACACACACACACACACACACACACCCGCTCAGGGGCCAGCTCACCTCTCCTCATGGGCTCAGACTATGGCCAGGGCTGGTGTCCAGGCAGCTGTTCTGGAAGGTGGAAGGCAGAGGTGCTGCCTTAGGAGATGGGGGGGTGGTACTGCAGCATCTGGGGCTGAAGGGATCTGGGGCTCTTGTGTAACCCTGTTCCCAGCCCCCTTGAAGCAAGGTAGGAAGCTTGCCGCTGCCTTCCTCCTCCACCTCTTTCAGGCCACAAGTTCCCTGCCCTGATTTCCTTGTCTTAAAGCTGCTGCTGCCTCAGCTCCCCAGGTAACACGGTGTAGCCCCAGGAAGATGACACAGGGACCGCACTGCCCAGCCCATGCCCCTGAGTCTCCCTCTTGAAGAGGGGTCATCTCAGCCACGTGAGCCTTCCCCAGCCTCTTCAAGGTCACTGTGTGCAACTAACCCACAGTAGATGTGGGACTGAGATTCAAGACCTGCACTTTTCCCCTTTGCCCTGGAAGCAGAGCAGGTGCAAGGGCAAGAGCGGGAGGGAGCTCCAGAGCCAGTGGCCCCAGCTCCTGTGTGGCCTGGCATGGTGGCGCATGCCTGTAATCCCAGCACTCGGGAGGCTGAGGCGGGAGGATCATTGAGAGTTCGAGACCAGCCTGGGCTACAAAGTGAGCTCACGGCTAGCCTGAACTGTATAGCAAGACCCTGTCTCAAAAAGAAAAAATAAATAACAGCCTGTGTGATCCTAGCCTGGTATTGTACCAGTCTGAGCCTCAGAAATACTCACCTGTAAAAGTTACCTGAACAGGTTGCTGTGAGTAATGCAAAATCATGTGGGGAAAAGGGTTAGCCCAGTCCGTACAGACAGTACTTGGTTAGAGGGAGCTGCTGTTACCGGACTGTACTGAGTCTTAGCCTCCCAGGGAGTGTTTACCATCACATGGGCCACTGGTGGCGGTTCTCTGGGCTGGGTTCCTTGCTGGCTCTGCTCCCTCAAAGCTCTGCACTTGGGTCAGAGTCAGGTGCAGAGCTCCCTGGTCAGGTATGTGGGTTCTAGGAGGGGTCTTCACAGGCCCGCTGTGAACAGTGGGAGAGTAGAGTGTGCCAGCTGGTGCCAGGGCTCCCCACATGGGCAAGGATGTCAGGACTGAGCCAGCAGGTAAAAAAGCATGTTGGGGAGCTGCCAGCCGCTAATGGGAGTGATTACAGCCAGTCTCCCCCAGGGGAAATGCCAGCCAGCAGCTGACAGGAAGCTGGCTCCAGGTCCCTGCTCAAGTCAGTAAATAGTTGAAGAAGGAAAGCAGCTGATCAAGGCAAAGAACTTGGACTCTGCAGGGCACACGGGGAGCCTGTCTCCACACCCTGCCCCTCCGGTCCTCCTTCCACACACTCTGCTCTGGCTGGCTCCAGGAGACACTGTCAGCCCGGCCCTGCCCTCACAGGGGACTTGCTCCGTGGGTGCAGTCCTTGGAAGTTACCCTGTGCGCTTCGAGGGAATGGACCATCAATCCATCGGATGAACTGTGTCAGAAATTCTTTGGCCCAGTTGCCTTCCGGCCTGAGCCCCTGAATAGCAAGACATCTGTGATGAGAGTGAGAGGTGAAGGTACACAGTGGAACAAGTTAGGGGCTGGAGTACTGGTGGAGTTGCCTCCTTGCTGTAGCCAGCCACACACACACACACACACACACACACACACACACACACACACACACACACACACACACACAGAGCCTTTGTGGTGATAAAAAGAGGAAAGATAGGGCCTGGGATATAGCTCAGTAGCACAGCACCTGCCTGCCAAGTGCAAGGTCCTAAGTTTGATTCCTCGTACCAAAAAAGAAAAAGAAAAAGAAAAAGAAGAAAGATAAAAATATGTTCTCATATATAAAGTAATTCTGGGGCTGGGGATTTAGCTCAGCGGCAAAGTGCCTGCCTGGCAAGCACAAGGTCGTAAGTTCGGTTCCCGGTACCGGAGAAAAACCAAAAAAAAAAAAAAAAATTAAAAAAAAAATAAAGTAATTCTAAACATCCCACAGGGGTCTAGAAAAGGAAAGAAACACTCGGTCAGTGCCCCAGAAGCACACAGGGTCTATGCTAGATGCCTTCCATATAATACCTGGGAACACACAGCCAGTGAAGGGCAGTCAGGGCTACGCCTTGCCTTCTGACCCCAGCCTGCTGATTTCACCAGCTACCACCTCCTTCTTTCACAGACCCAAGCTGCAGCAGCTCATAGGCATGCGGGGGACAGGGCCAAACTAAACAGGTTTCCATCAAAAAATGACTTCTCCAAGTACCTGTTAAGTGCTGGGCACTGGATGAGGATAATGTTCTTCTCCTCCGGGAACTGCAAGGCCAATTGCCCTCCGCCCTCCTGAAGGCGCAAGGGATGCAGGAGGGAGGAGAGGGAAGCCCGGGGGGTGGGCAGGGCCGACCTTGCCTGGGCCGGAGCCGGCCGCTCCTTCCCATCCCTTCTCTGCTCATTGTCACTGCCTCCCGCTTTCAGAGCAAGACTAGAGGACAGGTGGCAGGGCGCCGGCAGCGGCTGTGTGCAGCCCACAGATGCTCCCTGTGGGAACGAAAGATGAGAACGGACACAAGCAGAGGCCACTGGGTCTCGGTTCCACAGCCGCCGCCTCCGTTGGTCGGAAAGAGGGGAGCTAGCAGGAGCCCACGACTGAAGCTGGAGGATTCCACGCAACTGCAGTTCATGAGGAACGTGACCACTCCGAGAGCCCTCTGAGGAGGGACCCTGCTTCTGCTGTGCGCTGCCACGGAGGTCTCACGGTGATGCCCTCAGGGACACGCCAGAAGCGCATGGAATCTCCGTGTGTCAGGCCCTGGGTTAGGTGCTGCGGTGCTTGCAGGAGGGAGCAAGCAAGTTCTTCATCAGAGGGAGTTAGATGGATAAGAATGAAACATAACAAAGTATTATGAGTGACAGGACCAAATTCTATACAGGATCCAGAAGAGGTGCAAAAGCAGAGCAGGTCAGTAAGGGCTTCACAGATGAGAACGCTTCGAAAGGATAAGCGGATGTCGGGGGGGCAGAGGCAGTGAGCACACTGAGGCCAGGTGAGCAAAGGGGCAGGTGTGGAGTCACAGGCCTCTGCGGAATTACTAAGACCCGGCCCAGCTTGAATTTGAAGGACAAGAGCTGATGCAAAGAAAGGCAAGGCTGAGGGCAGGTCACAGTGGGCCTTCTGTGCCTGGCTGAGCTTGGACTGCACTCAAAGAGAATAAAGGACTCTCGGGCCAGGGATACAGCTCAGTGACACAGCGCCTGCCTGGCAAGCACAAGGTCTTGAGTTTGATTCCCGGTACAAAAAAAAAGAGAGAGAGAATAAAGAACTCTTGAGATCCTATCTCAAAAAAAACCAAAAAAACCAAAAAACTCCGTGACAAAGGGGCCCAACTTCACTGAGCAGTCTCTGGAGCAATTCATGTCCCAGGACATTGTATTAAGACAGCAATCAATCAATTAAAAAAAAAGAGAGAGAGAGAGCAATCAGCAAAGAATTAGCAAAGGTGGAACAGCCAGGAGCTGAGCACAGTTTGGAAAAGAGACCCCAGCTGAGGCCATAGGTGCCCAAGAGCAGAAAGAAGACTACACGAGGGCCAGGCATGGTGGCACACACCTGTAATACCAGCACTCAGAAGGCTGAGGCAGGAGGATCGTTGCAAGTTTGGGACCAGCCTGGGCTACAAAGTGAGCTCAAGGCCAGCCTGGACTACACAGTGAGCTCAAGGGCAGTCTGCACTACACAGTGAGACACTGCCTCAAAAACAAAAACAGAAAGTATCAGAGCTAGCTGAGTGTAGTGGTAGTACATGCCTATTATCCCAGCACTCTGGGAGGCTGAGGCAGGAAGATCACAAATTCAAGGCTAGCCCAGGCAACTTATTCTCTTTGTAAGACCTTGTCTACAAAGGAAAAACTAATCAGAACTTTTAAAAAGTCAGTGTTTAAAAAAGGATCAAATTTCAGAGCATTTCAGATGAACAGATTAGGGATACTGTATCACACATGACAAAAATAACACTAAAAAGGCAAAGAATAAAATAAAGCCACACAGAGAAGCTGAAAGAATAAATGTGATCCAAAATGTAACCGCAGATATTGTAAAATGGGAAGAAACTTCAAAAGGAAAGAGAAACTGGTTTAGGGGAAGGGGAAAAAGATGGAAAGGAAAAACAAAAGGAAAAAAATATACAAGTATATACAAAAGATAGTGAAGATAGTTGTGCTGCTGATTTCTCTGAGTTCATTGAAGGGAGAGGTCTGTGCTAATATTGTTTGGACAATTAAATGCTGATATCCTGTACACTAAGTAACTGATTTGAAGATAACAATATGCAATGTGTTGACCATTGTTACCCTTCTATCATATTGTTTCCGAATTTGGGGTTTTTGTTTTTTGTTTTTTGTTTTTTGTTTTTTTTTGTCTTTTTGAGACAGGGTCTCACTATGCAGTTCAGGCTGGCCTTGAGCTCACTTTCTTGCCCAGGCTGCTCTCGAACTCACAACGATCCTCCTGCCTCAGCCTTCCGAGTGCTGGGATTACAGGTGTGCACCACCACACCCGGCTTGGGGTGTTTGGTTTTTTTTTTTTTTTTTTTGGTTTTATGTTTTTTGTTTCTTTTTCTTTAAAAAAAAGCAAAAGAAATAAAGCCACACAGAAATAAACTTTTCTTATTGAAAATAAATTGGTATAAATCTGAAGTCGATTCTGGTAAACTAATATGTATAAACCCTTGAGCCACTAATAGAGAAATAACTCAAAATGTTGCTTAAAAATCATTAAAGGGAGAGTGGGTAACCTGCGCCCTCTGCCACCGGCCACTCGGCTGGATGAAGGGGGCCGTGAGCTGGAGCTCAGACTGCTGGAGGTGACAGGAAAAGACAGGTAGAGCTGGACCAGCAGCCTCAGGGCTTTGGGGGCACAGAGGCAGACCCAAGAGTGCGTCAGAGCCGAGGGCTGTCCTCAGACAGCATGGCAGTGACCTAAAGGGGGCCCTCGGGAAGCTCCTGGATGAGGAACTGGTGACCCTTCTGCAAGAGGTGGACACCGAGAGCATTAAAGCACCAGAGGACAGCCAGAAGTCAAAGAGCAGGAAGTCAACCCCGCAGAGGACTTAATCCGAGAAGGTGAGACGGCCGTTTCTGGTGGTAGAGAGGGGCAGGATGGGAAACTGGAGCTTTACCAGAAACGGCCCCACCCATTCAGCTGGAGGGCTAATGAAAAGAGCCTTCTATGCTCAGTTAGATGGTTCAATTCTTTTTTTTTTTTTTTAATTCCAGGAATCAAACTCAGGGCCTCATGCTTACCAGACAGGCACTGTGAGGTTTTTGTTTTGTTTTGGTTTGGTTTGGTTTTCTGAGACAAGGTCTCGTTATGCAATTTAGGCTGGCCTTGAACTCATAGCAATCCTCCTGCCTCAGCCTCCTAAGTACTGGGATTACAGGCAGGTGCCACCACACTTGGCCTTCAAATCATTTTGAAGATGTGTACACAGCTTCTGAACTGAACTCATACTATCGCACATAGACCCCAGTGTTGATTATCAGTTCAGAGTCTGTGGCCCAGGAACAGCTGACAGGATTGGCGTCATGGCAGTATCCCCAGATGGGTCATTATACATTGGTGCCTTGTGAGGGAACAACTGACTTTGAGGAGTACAGTCTGAGGAGGTGAAGAAAGGGAGTGAGTGCTCTGGAATGATTCTGGTCCAGGGAATCGAGCTCAGGACCTTGCACTTGCTAGGCAGGCGCTTGTGCCACTAAACTGTATCTCCAGCCCTCTGGAATGATTCTGAATCCGTAGGTCTTCTCCCGAGCACCAACCTATTTCTGTGGGCAGACATTAACATTCAGAGTTGGAACTCTCGGACAGCAGGACAGAACACAGTATGGGGGTGTGTGCAGACAACAGCCAGACAGGGCTCTGCAGCAGGACCAAGCAGTGTGCATTAGTACGAATGGCGCCATGTTTGTACCTGGAAAAGAAGTGACTAACCTGTTGCCTGCAGTTACCTACTGTCACATTTGACATCACAACTGTGGCCCTGGGAACCACCAATAGTAGTGAAGCTCTGAGTAACTTAGCTCAAATAACAGAAGTGGGTTTTGATTGGCTGCTTTATCAGCCCTGTGGTTCTCTTTACTTTGGATGCTGTTTTTCTTCTCTGGTGGAGAGTGTTGGTGTTTTGCGGTTTTGGATGCCTGGCTTTGGCTTGGACAGTCCTGTAGCTATCTTTAGCCCAGTGTAGTTGTAACTGATTTTTTTAAAAAGGTGAGCCGGGCTTGGTGGCACACACCTGTAATTCCAGCACTCGGGAGGCTGAGGCAGGAGGATCGTTGTGATTTCGAGGCCAGCCTGGGCTACAAAGTGAGCTCAAGGCCAGCCTGAACTGCGGAGCGAGACCCCGCCTCGAAAAGAGAAAAAAAAAAAAAAAACCCACCACCCAAAAAAAAAAAAAAAAAAAAAAAAAAAGGAAAAGGAAAAGAAAAGAAACAGTGTTGATTTTTATTCCGTGTTCAGTAACCTTTTTTTGTTTTTTCAGTAATCTTCCTGTCTGGTAAGCTTTATCATTTCTGGATTTTTTTTTTTCACAATGCCTGAGCAAGTGTGTATAGTAGACAGGTATTATCTTTTGCTCTTTCCTTGCAGTTTGATTCAAAATAGGCTCGAGGGTTTGCACGGGGTAAAACTTAGGCCCGGGCAGTGTTGCCATTGCGCATGCGTAATGTACACGTGGGCGCCTACAGTGCTACTCTCTGTGGTATGAGCTTTGATCTCATTTAATGTCAGTTGATAAATGGTCTTTTAGGGGATCAAAGAAATATAGGGTGAAACTTGACCTTTTCTGTTTGCTTTAGCCTCGCTATGCAGTTCAAACTGGACTTGAAAGGGCTGGGGATTTTTAGCTCAGCAGCACAGCGCCTGCCTGGCAAGCGTGAGGTCGTGAGTTCGATTCCTGGTACCGGAAAAAAAACATCAAAACAAAACAACAAACTGGACTTGAACTCACTTTGGGAGACCGGGGATATAGCTCAGTGGCACAAGAGTCTGCTGGGCAAGCTCAAGGTCCTGAGTTTGATTCTCGGTAACAAACAAACAAACAAAAAAAAACAGAAACAAAAACAAAGAACTCACTATGGGGCCCAGGCTAGCCTCAAACTAGAAATGATCCTCCTGCCTCATCCTCCTGAGTGTTGGGATTACAGGCATACACCACCATGCTCAGCTATTGACCAATCTTTAAACGCAAATGTGTGTAAGCTGGGCGTGGTGGCGCAGGCCTGGAATCCCAGCACTCAGGAGGCTGAGGCAGGAGGATCGTTGAGTTCGAGGCTAGCCTGAACTGCATAGCAAAACCAGGTCTCAAAAAGACTCACATAAAAAAAAGTAAATGTGTGTAAAATATTTATTTGAGGAATTTACCTAACGTATAAAAATAATGGCCTTAACTTGCTATACTAGCCTACAGAGTTTTTGTGGTATCTTTCATTTTTACCAGTAGTAGAAAAGTGGGAAAGCAAGTCTGACAGCTTTGTAAGATCATTCTGGGGGGTTTCATTTTTCCCTATTAGCCGATCATGACCTTTTCTCCTTGCCTTTATGTTTTGTTTTGCTTTGGCTTGTTTGCTTGTTGTTTTGTTTTCTTGAGGGAGTCTTACTGTGTAATTCAGGCTGGACTTGAACTCACCTATGTTGTCCAGGCTGGCCTCAAACTCACAGTAACTCTCCTGCCTCAGTCTCCTGAGTGCTGGGATTACAGGTGTGCCCCACCACGCCTGGCTTCTCCTTGCCTGTAT